AACTCACGCCGGGTGCGTGTGCGTGCGTGCCCAAGATCCCGAGAGGAGAATGGAGGAGAAGGGATTGTGGCGTGACCATCCCCCCTGGGGGATGATTTCTCGCTTTCTGTCTCTATGTCTCTCTCTGTCTGGCGAGCGCACGTGCCCTATAGCGAAAAAAAAACTCTCCAAAAAAAAAATTGTTTTCAGGTGTCATTAGGTAATATTTTGTGAGCACTTCAAGTGGCTCAAGTTTGAAGTGCTTCTGAAGGACAGAGAATAGCTGAAGTTAAACTACACATTACCCAAATATCTCTCTACAACCAAGTCTCCAGGTTTACATCATCTTTAGAGAAGAGGCAGATCTGGCCTGCCTTGTCCCCCCACTTTCTACTAGGTTCTCTGCTTTCTAGCTTCTCTTATCCAAATGGTGTTTCTACTAGTCACTGTAGCTGGAACAAAAGGCAAACCCAACCTCTGTGTCTTACTATTTCATTCCTTCTTCATGTTCTAATCACCAACTTAACAGCATTTGTAGTTTTTAGTTACCCCCCTTTTTATGAGAACTATGGTAATAAATAATGCCATGTTTTGGAATATATGATCATAAATGTAATCATAATGATAATCCGCAGTGATAATTTACCTTACATGAGAACTTGACTCAAAGGCAAAGCCTGGTAGTGTAGTTGGTAGCAAACTGAAATGAAGAGCTGGAAGCCACAAGGCCAGTCGTGCATTTGGGATAACTTGAAAACATGCCAAGTATGTGCATTTGTGCCCAAGAGCCTTATGAGGAGGAGGACTAGGGAAAGGGACCTCTAGGCATGGTCAGATCTCTCTGTCTCACACATGCACACCCTCTATCATGACACATTGATTCAGTATGACAGAGGGTATGCGTTTTGTGGGGGAGGGGTAATACTCTGATTCCCTTTAATAGAGATTTTTAAAATAACACGTTCAATTTATTGACAAAAATTAGCATGTCATTTAGTCAGTAAAAATGTCCATAATATTGTTATATATATAACATTGTTGTCCATAACAGTTGTTAAGTTTAGGGAGATTAAAAACTTGTCCACAGCTGTGCATCCCAGGAAGTAGGGGGACCACCAAGTAGGCTCTCAGAGCCAACATTCTGGACTGTGCTGACCCCCTTTCTCAGAAAACTTTTAAGGTAAAGGCAAAATAATTTTTTTAAAAAAATTTATTGCCAGAGGGCATGTGTGCTCTCTCTGTCAGCGAAAGAGAAAGAGAGAAAGCACCCCCAGTGAGATTGGTCACGCTATGATACTTTTCCTCCATGTCTCTATCCTTTCAGGATTTTGGGATTTTTCACACACACACACACACATTTTTTTGTTCAAGCTGCTGTGGCTGGGATTCAGCCTGTGGGCAGTCCGGCAGGATCTCATTCTCCATGCCCAACGCTTATCTACTGTGCTAACAAGGCAGGACATTTTTTGAAATTTCTTCTTCCCTATTATTTAAGACATGATTTCCTAAATGACTTAAAAACTTATTTTAATTTAAAAAATTTTAAGTTTGGGGACTGGCAGGTGGCCTGGTGTTTAAAGATGCTGGGCTCCCACATGGCCAAATACGGTTTGAGTCCTGGACCTGGTGGCTTGCTTTCTCACTTTCCCCCTCTCTCTCTCTCTGTATGATCAAACTGGAAAATAATAATAATAATAAGTAAAGTTAAATAAAATAATTCTTAAAAAATTTTTTAAGAAGTTTATTTACTGAAAAGGAAAAATACAGGTATCTTGGCAGGATCTCATCACACTATAGCACATCCCACCTCACCTGACAACCAGTTGTCCAGCTGCCAGGATATACATGTACCTGTGGGTGTGCCTAGTAAATTCAGATGGACCCAGGGGCCTCCCATATGGGTCTAGTGTCATGTACTGGCACCCCTCCACCTGCACCACCCTGCTCAGCCCAATTTTACTTTCATAATGTTTTGACATCTTGAAGATTTCATTGAGGCATTACTGTGGGATAGCAAAGTAGACCAATAGTATATTGTGACCAACATATAGGATATAAGGTTCTTTTTTGTTTTGTTTTGTTTTGAGAGGTTTTTGCTATAGGGCATGTGTGCTCACCAGAAAGATATAGAGAGACATAGAGACAGATAGTGAGAAATCACCCCTCAAGGGGAATGGCCACACCACAGTCCCTCTCCTCCTTTCTTCTCTCAGGATCTTGGGCATGCATGCACACGTGCCCAGCATAAGTTTAAGCCACCAGGTCCGGGACTCAAACCACGGTCGATTACATGGGAGTTCAGCGACATAGCCATTATGCTAAGTGCTGGCTCCATGGATATAAGGTTCCTAATTATGTTCTGATAAAGTTGTTTCTTACTTGTAATCATCTTTTCTTTAAATTGTCATCCTCAGAGTGTTGTGGAGGTCAAGTGAAAAGCACATTGAAAGTCCTTTGCAAACCGAGAGGTTGTCATTATATTAATATATAGGAACATGACTGCACAGACATTGATATGGGTTGGTTTTTAAGCTGTGGTAAAATGCTGGTATTCTCTTTGAAAGTACAGAACTATAGAGTATGTGATAAAGAATCTTATACTGAAATGCTTTGGGGGAATTCACAATATTTTATTTTCTGTCATTGGTGTAGTACTGGTCATGGGGAATGCCTTCTTGACAAACCAAATGGAAGAATATATGATCTGCCTTCACAACTTCCTGGATTAATATATGATGCAAACAAGCAATGTGAACTTATGTTTGGTCCTGGATCACAAGCGTGTCCCTATTTGGTAAGAAAAACCCTATCCTTCTGTTTGAAAATCACCAGGAAGTTGTAGAGTAATAAAAAGGTTATATAATTCGAAAACTGAAAGTATCTAGATATTGGGGTAAATGGGTATCGTGGTAGTTAAGGTGTTAGAGTCCCACATGTCCAACCATGGTTCAAGTCCCACACCTGGTGGCTTGAAAGTCATACTGGGTGCGTGTGCATGCATGCCCAAAATCCCAGGAAGAAGATGGAGGAAAGGAGATTGTGCTGTCGCCATTCTCCCTCAGGGGTGATCTCTCACTTTCCCTCTCTGTCTGTCTGGTGAGAGCACACACCTACGGGGAAAAATAAAACCTTAAAGAAAAAAGCATCCAGATATGTATTTTCGAATAACATCCACCCAGGGGGTGATTTCTTGCTTTCTGTCTCTCTGTTTCGATAGTTGTGATACAGGTCCAGGAATTGAATAATTATATTTTCTTTTACATATACTTGAATCCAAACGAATAAAATTTGGGACATAACATTTGTATTCAATAATCTATTACTTTGTCATTTATTGAGAGGATGTTTCATAAATTACATACTTTTAATTTCCACTGAAATAATTGATCCTAATACTTCCACTGAATTTATGACAATGATTTTTTTGTTTCATTTGAGGGTAGAGTAAGGATTTAGTTTAGAATAAATGTCACTGTTTAGGCGGTTCCACGCTTTACTTCTCTTTTTATTAAATTTTTTTTGTTTTGTTTTTGGTTTAGTTTTATTTTGTGTTTAAGAGATTTTTGCTATAGGATGTATGTGGTCACAAGAGAGGCAGAGAGACAGAAAATGAGAAATCAACCCCCAGGGGGAATGGCCATGCTGCAATCCCTTCTCCTCCTTTTCCTCTCAGGATTTGGTGTGTGCACACATGCCTGGTGTGAGTTTAAGCTGCCTGGTCTTGGACTCAAAACTGTGGTCAAGTCAACTATGTAGGAGTTGAGTGCCTTAACTACCATGCCATCTGCTGACCCCTTTATTAATGTTCTTTTTTATTTTCTTTAGAGAGAGAGATTTTTGCTATAGGGCGCATGCACTCAAAGGAGGGACAGAGACAGAAACCGAGAAATCACCCCTTGGGGGGATGGCCATGCCACAATCCCTTCTCTTCCATTCTCCTCTTGGGATTTTGGGTACGCACGCATACATACCCATTGTATTTAAGCTGCTGGGTCTCTGACTTGATCTGCAATAGACCTTGTGGGGTTCCAGTGATATAACCATAACACCATCTGCTTGTTCCAAAGTTCTTAAAAAAATCTTTTAAAAAACATTTTCTGAGGTCAGCAGATGGCATAGTGGTTGTGTTGCTATACTCTCACAGGGCCAACTGTGGTTTGATTGGCATGAAAACCATGCCAGATGTGTGTGTGCATGCCCAAAATCCCAGGAGGAGAATGGAAGAGAAGGGATGGCGGCAAGACTATCCATCCTGGGTGGTGATTTTTCTCTTCCCCTCTCACTGTCTCTGTCTCTCTTGTGAGCACACATGCCTTATTCCAAAGTCCTCTTAAAGCATGCACGCACACACACATTTTTGTTGCTGGAGGCAATGTACTTGCCAGAGAAAGAAAGAAAGCACCTCCCAATGAAGTATGAGTGCACCACAATCCTCTGTCCCCCCTTCATCCCACATGTCAGGATCTTACGCATGCATGTGCATGTCCCCAGTGCATTTTTTCAGGTTGCTGGGGGAAGGATCCAAATCATGGTTAGCTATATGAGTTCCAGCAGTGCTTAACCACTATGCTATAAATCTAGCCAAGCACATTCTTTACTTTTTCATCTAGAGGACTCATTCTATTTTCTTCCTCGTGTACATACTTTGTCAAATTATAGCCTTATCGATTATACCATTGTACCAGAAACATAACTATATTTATGCATTTAAATAAATACATTTCGCCAGTGTCAGTTCAGGGGTCATAAATGTCCACTGAATGTGGAATGAATGAATAAATGAATTGGGTAGTCATTTAACAGTGCAGAAATATCCGAAGCATATTTCACATAGTGAATATTGTTCCTAAAACTTAAATGTATAATCACAAATTTTAAGGTGCCTTTAAGGGTTCACTATAGTGGGGGTGGGGGAGATTTACCTTAATATTTCATTATATGAGGTATATTGCTTCCGACTTGGTTTAGACATTTCATATACTTTGAATTTAAATTCAGAAAAATAAAGGAATTATCTTGGGTGTAACACCCTCTGACCCTCTGTGGAATTTAATTTCTTGGGAAAACTCAGAACTTTCAGTTCAAAACTTGAAAGTATGTATTATATTCACAAAATAGGAAACTTCATACATTATACAGTGCTCCTATGCACATTATTCATACATTCCACTCTTGCATCAAAGGGGGCTTTTGGCAACTTCTTGTGAGTAACATTTAACAACAAGAAGTGCTTTGGAAAAATATATAAAGAGAGCAAAATGGTTCACACAATTTCGATAATTTTCATTGCCATTTATGCCCGTCGTTCAATATAGGAATAAAAAATCTAAAAAATTAAGAAAAACAATTGTTGCCATCCCACGTGTTCAGGAGACAAGTCAGTGACTAGAACTTGTTTAGTAAAGATTGTTGTTGATTATTGCCAGCTCTGGAAATAAACGATGAAACCAGGAAATATATCGGATTCACGTATGAACCGGAGTATTACCCTGAATTGATCTGGATGCTGTGTGCCGTCCTTGCTCTTACTTTTGGGCCTTTTGTTCCTCTGCAGAAACAGTGTAGGCGTCTGTGGTGCACGAGTGCAGAAGGCCCTCACAAAGGCTGTCTTACTCAGCACATGCCCCTGGCAGATGGAACACACTGTGGTCCTGGGATGGTAGGTTTTCTTGAAGGGTGAGTCTTGTGTCAAGAGATTACCCGAGGATGAGCTTGCTCTGTGTGTCAGCACGCTCTTCATGAACTACTGCCAGCTTTTGTTCAGCTATTTCAATGAATGTCATTGCCATGCTTGTTTGACGTAGTACCTTGTTAACCGAATTAAATTTTTAATTTTACTTATTCAGAAATGTAACAAATGAATGTTAAAGTTACATGCAGTTTGCATATAACTAATGACATAGATATAGGCTTATGTAAGTATACTATAGCCTCGTTACTAAAATTGAGCGCAGACATGAAGGTCCTACTGTTTGGCCAATCACCCATATTCTTGGATGTTCCCATCGCATGTATTTTTTCTAGTAAAATTCGGTTAAGTTTTAAAAGTCTTCTTCAGAATTTTAGTGATTATAAATGTATTAAAATACACCATGCCTCTAAAATAAATTGCCTACTGTGCTAAAACCTTACTGCTCTAAATTAATCATGAACTTATCTAAATCTGCCAACATGCTATTGGATGCTAAGGCTCACCACGACAGTGAGTTGGATTATAGGGACAGATGAAGTCAGACTGTGCTTTGTGCTACTGGATGAAACCACGTTCTTCAGGTCTTGGTAGCCAGGATCATCCATGCTAAGTTTGAGTTTTGGTCTCCTCTGTGTTCCGTCAGTGTAAAACCAACACTTCCTTGGCGATGGTTTGGCTAGTGCTCCCTCTTCACATTAAGCAGAAGAAAAACTTCATGAAAATAATGTCAGTTCAGTAGCTAAATTTGTGTCTTTACCACCTGTTGCGTCATGAGATATTTGTACCAGCTCTTGCTTTTGCTTGAATTACTTTTCCAAAAAGAGTAGTCGTGATCAACTCTTACATTATAATGACTTGTCTACCAAACTTTTATTTGGAACTTCAGCAATATTTGGAGTAACTAAAATACTCACCGAAATCATCTATTACTCTATGATTTTGTACTGTTAGGACCTAAGTTTGGGTGGATTTTTTTCAGATAGTTAGCATAAATTTTGAAATCTGATCTTTATGTAAGATTTCTCTGTCTCATGGGAGAGAAACAGAGACAGAAGCATCCAACAGGGTCTTCATGCTGTGATCCAGCCCCAGCCTCTGCCAGCCAGTATCATGGGGTTATGTGATACAGGAAGACCTCAGGACATGAACCTGGGACCTTCCATGTCTCTTTAGTACTGCGAAAACATTGTGTTACTGCTGCGCTACTGTGGCTGGCCAGGATTGGTTTGATATATGTATATGTGAGTGTGAGTGAGAGTGTGTGTGTGTGTATTTCTGTTCATTTATAAAATGATACTTCTGTGTAAAATGATAAAAATGATTGACTAGGTAAATGCCAAAGAGATAAGCTGAATTTTTCAATGCTAAATAGGATGGCCTTTCCTTAAAATATTAAAAATAGAATTATATGATTTAGCAGTTCTAATTCTTAGTACATACACAAAAAATTAATAGCAGATTCTGAAAGTGAAGTTTGTCCACTCATGTTCATAGCAGGATTATTTATGATAGCCAAAAAAGGGAAAGCAGCCAAGTGTCCATTGATAGATTAATGGATAAGCAAAATGTGGTGTATGATTATGCTATTGTTTGAATGTCTGTTCCCTCCAAAACTCATGTTGAAATTTCATGGCCAGAGTAACAGTAATGGGAGGTGGGGGCTTAACGAACTGATTAGGCCCCAGTGGCACCTGCAGCATGAGTAGGTTTGATGCCTTAAAAAACAGGCTTTTAGGAGTGGGCTCTGGAGACCAGTTGTACATAATGTCAATACATGTTACATAACTGAACACTTAAAAGTGGTTAAGATGTTAAATTTTATGTTATGCATTTTACCACAATTAAAAATAAATGCAGACTGGGACCAGCAGATGGCGTAATGGATATGTTACTGAACTCCCACGTAGTCGACCAGGAGTCCCACATCTGGTGGCTTAAACTTATGCCAGATGTGTGTGCATGCGTACCCAAGATCCCGAGAAGAGAATGGAGAAGGGATTGCGGCGTGGCCATCCCCCCGGGGGGTGATTTCTCGCTGTCTCTGTCTCTCTCTGTCTTTCTGGTGAGTGTGCGCAAACTATAGCAAAAACCTCTCCAAAATAAACAAACAAACAAGTAAATTAGGCCAATTTTTAAATTATCTGCTTTAAGAAAATAATTATTCTATCAAAATCCTTTAAAAATTTCTAAATGCTTACTCTAAATTCCTTTATAGCACAGACTGGTAACTAGTTCATAGGCTGGCATCAGTGCTTGGACCACACACTGATGAGCTGTCACTGAAGCCATGAATGCACAGAAGACATGGGAGAATTGCTAGAATGATGTCTCGAATAGGTGAAGCGAGAGGATTAAGGGCACAGGTGGCAGGACTGACTAGAAGAGCAGGTTGCTCATGTAAAATACTAGGCAACCTTGGCTGAGTATGTGAGCACAGATGCTATTGGGTGGATAGAAGGGTGGATGGAAGATTATGGACAGATTCTTACATTTTTTGATGTAAGTAACAAGCAGAGTTATAACACTTGAGATTTTAAATGGGATAAAGCAGAAAGATATCAAAAAAGAGTAGGACAATAGATGTCTTTGAGTAAAAGAAATGGAAGCATGCAAGTACCTGATCTTAACCTAATATTTATTTTCTTTTTAAGTGTTTCTCATTTTATTGTTTAATTTTCCTTTCATCCCCAATGAGACTCTACATCTCAAAGGCAAGAGACATATATATTCTTCCTGCATTCTACAGCTCTTACAGTTACTCAGTAGATGGAAAATATTCATAAAGTGGTGTAAAATGTAATAACATTTCTGAATTAGTAAGTTTACTTTACATTGTTTATGGTCCGTTCTTCTATTGATCTTTATGCTGCTATGATAATTATTGAGGTGTTCTCAGAAGGTAAACATGAACCATTTCTTTTTGTGTTTATTGTTTTCTAGCACTGCCGCCGTGGGTTATGTGTAAACAAAGAGATGGAGACACGTCCTGTAGATGGTGAATGGGGACCCTGGGGACCTTACAGTTCTTGTTCAAGAACATGTGGAGGTGGAATCAAAAGCACAAGCAGGCTCTGTAATCGTCCCGAGTATGTCTTTTTTATGTCACTGTAAATTAAGATTATCTCAAGTCATCAGAAAGTAAACATCAGTTTCATTCACTTCTAAAACTGGAGGTCAGTCTGTAAGTTTCTGAGATTCAGACAACTTCTGGGAAACTTTAAGCCATTTTGCTTTATATCTTGGTAGATTTGGACCTTGGGGAAAAAAAAGAACAAATTAAATTTTTTTAAAGAATTATTTATTTATTTATTTCCATTTGTTATTGTTATTTTTTTTTCTTTATTTGATGAAAGAGAGAGAGAGAGAAAGAGAAAGGGAAAGTGAGAAAGCAAACCACCAGGTCCAGGACTTGAACCATGGTTGGCCATGTGGGAGTCCATTGTCCTTATCCACCACACCACCTGCTGGCCCCGAGAATGAATTGAATTTTATAATCTGAACTCCAAAAGAACCATTACATTTTTCTTATTTTCTAATTTAACATAAATTTTACAAATATTTGTAAATGTGAATGACAGGAGTATAATGACACTTTCACATTTTCTGTGTTCCCAGCAAAAGGTCCTGGCTCCTGTCATGTATGTTTTGGCTTTCCTGGACATAATGTGTAGTTTGATTATCAGTTTTTACTGTTCGTGTAATTTGATGTTCATTTTCTTTTTCTGCTTCTCATGTTATAGATGGATTTTGTCTTTAGCTGAATAAGTACTGAAGCATAGCTCTCCCTTATCAAAATATTTAAAAGAGCTTAGAGATTCCATAAAGATTTTTAACTATTATTTTTATTGTATATATGATGTATAACTTGGTAAGCAATATGATACTATTCACTAAAATTTTATTAACATGCATTTTTAATGCAGAAATGGGACAGCCTCTGCATTAAACCTAACTTAGTTTATTTGAATTTTGGAATAGCTAAAGTATGCTAGAAGTCTATTTTCCAAAAATTCTGAGAAAAAATGTTTTTATTTTCCAGCATAAATTGAAATAGAGATGGATACAGATTAATACATGAAAATCCTTAAACTGGGTGATAAGTAGGATATATATGACCATGATGTGTGTATATTTCTTTTTTATTTAAGATAGTATCTTCTTTTGTTATTGTCTTTGGTTCACTACATGTCATTTTTTATTTTTCAGAAAATGAACAAACCCATTTTTAAAAGTTTGAAAATAGTTCTCCTCACAAGCTGATTTCTTCTTAGTTAATGTAGTCAAGAATTAAGGGGTCATTTCTGTTCTCCAGGCCTCATGGGCCAGCCTATGATGGACATTCGTGTGGCTCATTAGGCATCAAACTACTTAAAACTCTTTTAAATGTTTCTGTTAAAAACAAAAGTTATTGGGGCCAGCAGGTGCTGTGGTGATTAAAGTGCTGGACGCCCACTTGGCCAACCACAGTCTGGGACTCAGACCCAGTGACTTGATACTCACACCAAACTCACGTGCATGCTTACATGACCAGGATACCTGGAGGAGAAGGGATTGTGGTGTGGCCATCCCCCCAGGGGGGCGATTTCTCATTCTCCCTCTCATTGTGTCTGTCTGTCTCTTCAGTGAGTACACCCCCTGTGACAAAAACCTTATTTTAAAAAAAAAAAAGGGAAGGAAAAAAGGTGTTAGTAGGGCTTCAGTGTTTTTCCAGATCCTGGAAAAGAATGGAACAGTTTTAGAAGTAAATGGCAGAAATGCTATTGTACTGATGTGCTTTAAAATGTAATAAATTTGACTAGGCCAAGAAACGGAGGAAAGTACTGTGTGGGCCGCAGGATGAAATTTCGATCATGTAACACTGATTCATGTCCAAAAGGCAAGCAAGACTTTCGAGAGAAGCAGTGCTCTGATTTTGATGGTAAACATTTCAACATCAATGGTCTTTCCCCTAATGTGAGATGGCTTCCAAAGTACAGTGGGAGTAAGTAATTATAGTATTTATTTGACATAAATTTTAAGACACAAGGACACACTGAACATTGTACACAAAAATTTGACTTTTTATTTTTTTCCGTACAGTTGCCATGAAAGATCGCTGTAAGCTGTACTGTCGGGTGGCTGGAACCACTAACTTCTACCAGTTGAAGGACAGGGTTGCTGATGGTACTCCTTGCGGAACTGAAACTAATGACATCTGTGTTCAAGGCCTGTGTCGGGTAAGTCGACTGTAAGTTTCTGTTATACTTAAGGTGACTTTAGGAATAATATTTTTCTTTATTTCTCTAACCAAATATTACTTCTGTTACTTCAGAATGCATTCTTATGAATTCCACTAAAGCAATCTTTGTTATGCTGTCTATAGGAGAGTGGTTAGATTTGTTAGTCGGCAGTTCTGTTGCGTCAAGAGTGACTTGTAAAGCATTAAGATAAATTTGTTGATTTTTGTTTTGCCTACATTACTCAGAATTCAATGCAAACGAGGTCAGCTTCCTAAAAAAAAAAAAAAATAGAAAATAATAGGTTACAAGTGCTGTGAAGTGCTTTTGCTACTTCAAATGTGACCTTCTCTGGGAACATTTCTCCCTCTGTGTTAAAATCATTTGAGAGTCTCCCTCCCTCTTACCAGCCCTCTATCTCTTAGTTCTTATACACATTCAACAAACATGAATTGAGTCACTTAGGTGTTAGATATTGTTCAAGTCACCAGGATGAAAGGATGGAGCAGAGCTTTTCCAAGATGGTAACAGATTCCTGAGGCATGTCATGCAAATAATTAGAATGCAGTGCAATGGAGTCATCTTTAAGGCAGCAATGAGATACTGAAGGAGTGTCTTATTTGATAGCGAGGTATGTAAAGGAATCAGAAGCTGGAGGTTTCTGCCAAGCACTTAAGATTTTAGAAAGGTAATGAAATGAGGAAGCAGGACTCAATCAGGAACTAAAGGATGGTTGTTGCATGTACTTTCTTTGGAATTCCTTGGAGACTCATAGATGGGTTGAAGTCAAAGGAGATATATGTGATTGATTTGCGTACTACACTCTTCAGAAGGTCCTGGCTTGAGAGACAATTGGAGATATGTGGGCCTTTTACTCTAGTAAAAGTAGATAAGGCCCTGTATTAAACTACAAACATTGCAGATGGTAATCTTGAGAGTGGATGGTGAATTTGAGAACTAGGATGGTGAATGCTGTCTGAAGCATAAAAGTGTAGTCTTATGTGGGCTGGCGGGTGACTTAGTGGTTAAGGATGCTGGAATCCCACATGGCTGACTACGGTTCGAGTCCCGGACCTGGTGGCTTGCTCTCTCTCTCTCTGTCTTGCTCTCGCTCTCACCCTCTGATCAAATTAAAAATAAATAAAGTAAAATAAAATAATTCTTTAAAAAAAAAAGAAAAGAAAGTGTAGTCTTATGAACTCGTTCCTTTGGTTAAGGTGGAGCTTAATAGGGCCAATCTCATCTCTCTGTTATCAAATATATTACCAGTTATCTATGTGCTAAAGAGCTTATATCCAAGAGCTAATGAAATGTTCAAACTTACTTAATATAACTCACACATTGGAAATAGCTGAATTACTAGAAAAAGGTTATTTAGTGGCCTGAAAAGTCATATTTAATCTAAATTAACACCACAAAGTCCTATGGAAAAAAAAAATATATATACACACTATTTTCAGAGAATATATGTTAACATTTTCATTTTGGAAATATTTAACTGTGTATAAAACAATTCAGAGGGCAAGCAAGTGACGTAGTGGTTAAGGCGGTGACTCCCACGTGACTGATGCAGTTCCAGTCCCCAATGCAGCAACTGGAAACTCATGCTGTGCACATGCATATGCATGCCTAGAATCCAGGAGGAGACTGAAGGAGAAGGAATAATCAGATATATCAAATACCTGAAAGTTACTGCCACATGTATACAGAGGACAGCTTCTGTATGAGAGAGCTGCACTTGCTTTTGGAAACATTCACTTTAGTATTTATTTACTTATAACTCTTTCCTCATTATTTTAATAAACACTGTTTCTTAAGCCAGGCATTAATTTTATAGAAATTATTATTTTCAAATGATTATTTGAAACCAGATTTATTCTCAGAGTTCTAAGGTTATGAGTTTAAAAAAAATCATGAAAATCTTTTGCATTTTAATGTCTTACAGAATTGCACTTTTGTTCTTTGAATTGCATTTCTTTAAAGAGCAGTTTTCTAGTGATGTTCAGTATAGAAATCACTGTTAGTGTTATAATGAGGATAATAGGATTTTAATCCAGAAATTTGAGAATCTACCTTTTCAAGTGCCACTCCATGTGATTCTGAAGCAGCAAATGATCTTTGAAAGACACATGTGAACAAATGTAAAAATACTGACATACAAGATCAGGTCTTCTGCAAAAATCCTGTTGTACCAAATGTTCTAATCGAAAGATTATTATGAAAAGTATTTTGTAAACTTTAAAGCACCATGCTAGTAATTATTCATTTTTATAATATTGATCATAAAACTTGTGTTTTGAAGCAAGCTGGATGTGACCACGTGTTAAACTCCAAGGCCAGGAGAGACAAATGTGGGGTGTGTGGTGGGGATAACTCTTCCTGCAGGACGATGGCAGGTGTCTTCAACAGTGCTCATTACGGTAAGCTCTGCATTTATTTCCAGCTTTCCCTTTTATCTGGTGTGTAATAGTGGAATTAGGTCATAAAGGTATCCTAATAATGCTTTGTTGCTTTTCTACTCTGTACCCTTAGTTGAGAATTAAGAAATTAAAGAAAAATTTATTAATGTAAAAATCTTAAATCTGATTCTAGATGTATCTTTGATTTAATGATTTACTTGCCCAAGCAAATCTGATTCATAAAAGTATACTAAGTGCATTTATTAGAATAAATCCCATGCTATGTGACTGTGCATATGAATAGTTTCCCAATTAATGAAGAGCTTTTATTAATTCTCTCGTAATCTGAAATGTATATATTTATAACTTTTCCCAGAATATTTGCTTGTAATTATTTTCAACATTTCAATTACTATTTCTTGGTTTTATTTTAGAACGATCTGGCCTATCTTGTGTTTCGTATTAATGATATATTGAAAATGTTAATTGAAGGTGAAGGACGAGCTTACTAACTTAAAATGTCGACTCAGGATTATAATCACATTTGATTTTCCCAGGAGTATATGTATCACAGACACAACTCACAGTTGGCTAAGATTTCTTTTTCATACAAAATTATTATGAGAAATATATCAAATTTTTCATTCTGAAATTTTCTGGGCAAACTTATTTTTCTTTTATGGTAATAAAAGCAGACATCTAAAACTTTTCTAGCAGTCTTATCTTCCAGCTATCAATTGTACTCACATGTCTGAACTGCAATAGTGTTAGTCACTTTAATTAAAGCAGTATAATTTTAAACTGAAAGTTTATGATTTTATCTATATGAAAAATATAGTACATTTTAAACACCAGTGATATTTGTGAATATTAATGACTAGATCATTTGACATACTATTTTTCTAGTTATTCTTCATTATTCACAGGACCCATACACATTAGATTCCTTCTATATCCAGTGGCACACATTTATCACAGTCTGTGTTCACTGAAAAATATTTTTCCAGCCTAAAGCCACATGCCTCAAATTAGGATTAAGTATTTAACCTTGTAAAAATTGTACTATGAATTAAACGGTTTACAAATGAAAAAAGGTATTACACTCATTTTATAGAATGTGAATAGATCTGTCACATTTCTGCCCCCTGGTGGTAGCCTTCATCTTGTCTCCTTTAAAAAATGCCTCATGCTTGGAGTTCTCTAGAAAATGTAAAGGCATGAACAGTAGAGAGTGAGAATATTTTGTAGTTAAAAATGGTGGCTTACAATTCTTATACATTTGTAACTTATGACTAATATGCATATAGTATATACAGAATCACAAAATCATTTATTAGTTTATATATTTTAAATACGCTGTCTGGGCCAGCTGGTGGTGTGGAAGTGAAGATGGCTGGATCGCACTTGGCTGACTTTGTGGTTGGAGTCCAGACCCGGCAGCCTGACAAACACACCAGATGCGTGTGCATGTGTGCCCAAAATCCTGAGGCAAAATGGAGAAGAAGGGGTTGTGGCATGGTCATTCCCCTTGAGGAGATGATTTCTCCCTCTCTTTCTCTCTGTTTGTCTGTCTCCAGCAAGCACATAACACCCTATAGCAAAAACTGCTTTCAAAAAGAAAAAAAGTGATTCCTTAAAGTGATATAAATAAGGCTGCTCTAAAAACACACAAGGTAATCTAACTTATAAATTATAAATTAAACTCTTTTCAAACTTCTTGTCTTAAATTCCTTTCATATTGAGAAACATTAGTTTCTTTCATTTATGTATTAAATAGGAGAAAATCCTAATACATAAGGAAAAAGAAATCTTAGAACAATAATCACAGGAGCATAATTAATTGTATGCATAAAAATCTAAGTATTTGGACAACTGTGTAACATTATTCTTACTGTCAGGAAAATAATTTTTCTTTTTTTAACACACACATGCATATACATAAGTGTGTGTGTGTACATACTTTATATATTTGACTGTTAGGAAAGTTATAACGTATTTTTCTATGCAAAATGTATCATGACTTTCCCAACAACCCAATACGTGTAAAATAAAGTTTATTTATTCCTTACTTCCATGGTCAGGAGAGACAGAAAGAGAAAGACAGAGCCAGGCATCCCTAACAGGGTCCCCCACCATCATCCACCCCAACCACAGCCAGCCTGGATATTGGGCACATATGTACCTGGCATACTATGTAGCTCTCTAGCACAAATCCAGAACCTTCCACATGGGTCAGCTTTACAAACTTTGTGTGACTGCTATGCCACCATCCAGTCCTTTGTTTAATGCATGTGTGAAATGGTGTTTCTTCTTTTGAGCCATGTCAATGTTGCTGAGTCTGGCCTCATAAAATGTACTACTTTCATTTTACTTGAGTAAATATTTTACTTTTCTCATAAAGAGTTTCTTCATAGACTTTTTAAAAATAATTATTTATTTAATTGTGTTTATTTATTTATTTTAAATTTGATCAGAGAGAGAAAGGGAAAATGAGAAAGCAAGCTGCAAGATCTAAGACTTGAACTGCGACTGACCATGTCAGAGTCTAGTGCCCTAACCACCACACCACCTGTTGGCTCCTCTTAAAAGACTTTTTAAAATAATATAAAATGTTGGGAGTAGAAACAAGGATCCCTGTTTATACTACAAAGCTTAAGAAAAATCTTGAGATATATTCTTTTTCTTAAAAATTATTGTTGACTGAGTCTCCACAAACTTATCATAGCTGTGATCAATTATTTGTAGAATACATTTTAAATCTTGTAATTTTTTTTCCCAGTAGAAAATATAAAATATGAAAGTACTAGTTAAAGTTTTCAAATGAATGTGTTTTAAGTATCTGAGGAACTTAAAGACTAGCTTCATTCTACTTTATATTAACAATTTTACAAATAAGAAAATTTGAAGTCCTACTTTAAGAATCCTAAACTCTGTTTCTAGATAATAACCACTTTTCCTCAATCCTCAGTAATTTGTATAAGGCCTTGATTTGAAGAAATAACCACTGTATCATTTTTTCTAAAGATAAAATGAAATTAAGTCTGATTACATTATCCGTAGTTGCAGTGACTCAGCAGCTGTAACCTCTAGGCCATCTGCTTTATGTGAAGTTTAACATGTATAAATTATATTGCAGGTTATAATGTCATTGTGAAGATTCCCACAGGAGCAACAAACATTGAGATTCTTCAGCACAGTTACTCTGGAAAACCAGAAGATGACAATTATCTTGGTAAACATTTCTAGTAAACAGCAGCCAATAAGCGGCTTGTGTGCAGTTTCATGGAGGTCTGTGATGGATGCAAATTCTTGGAAGGCAACAACAGTCACTTGAACAAACATACTATTTCAGTTCATACTGAGCTTAGGTCATCTGACTATACATGTATTTTTAAGCTAGATAAAATATATCCTTTAAAAAAGGATTCTGAAAATGATTTTTTTCATAACTGTCTATTAAATAGCCAAAGGTTATATCCGATTAAAACTACCTATGGGGACCAGCAGTTAGCATAATGGCTATGTCGCTGGACTCCCATGCAGTTGACTGTGGTTCGAGACCTGGACCCGGTGGTTTAAACTCACACTGAATGTGTGTGCGTGCGTGCCCAGGATCCCAAGAGGAGAATGGAGGAGAAGGGACTGCGGCATGGCCATCTCCTATGGGGGGGTGATTTCTTGCTTTCCGTCTCCCTGTCTCTCTCTGTCTTTCTGGCGAGTGCATGCACTCTATAGCAAAAAACAAACAAACAAACAAAAACAAAGAAAAAAAGAAAACTCTCAAAAAAAACTGTGTATTTTGGATAAAATTTTCTTACATATTTTTGCCTAATATTATAGAACTTTTTACGGTTAAGTGGGTTAAATGATTTAACTTTCTTTAAGTGTGGTTACAGAGTAGCAAGCATATTTATATCCAGTTTTTAAAAATTTCTTCTAGTGAAGAAAGCAAAAGAACTATGGTTTTTTATATTATTAGTTATTTGTGACTAATTATAGTATATTAATTTTTATCTATTGCTAGACTCTAGTCCTATTTTATGTTACTGATTTTTAAAAATTATTTTCCAGATACAAAGAATTTTAGTTACACATAAACATGGAAAGACTGTTTTATAAGTTTTTTCCTTCGGTCTGAGAAATATCTTAATGTTGACCAATCTGTAACCATCAAGCTGTGGAGCTGATTTTGACAGTGTCTGCTTCACATTAATAAGATACATTGGCCCAGATAATTAGTACCCATAACTGGGATCTGAATCTATGCCGAGCAGCTTATTTAGGAATCACATTTGACAATATAAAGTTAAATGTAGAGGGAACAACTGCACACTTGGTTCAGGCTTTCTTTTCGAGATGATGAGAAAGTTTTGGATTAAATAGAGGTGGTGTTTGCACAACATTGTGAACGCATGAAATGCCACTGAATTGCTCACTTAAAAATGACTAATTTTGGGACCAGCAGTTGGCACAGCACTATGTCACTGGATTCCCATGTAGTCAAACATGGTTTGAGTCCCGGACCAGGTGGCTTAAACTCATGCTGGGCATGTGTGTGTGCGTGCCCAAGATCCTGAAAGGAGAATGGAGGAGAAGGGATTGTGGCCTGGCCACCCAACCTGGGGGGTGATTTCTTGCTTTCCATCTCTCTCTGTCTTTCTGGGGAGTGCACACGCCCTATAGCAAAAGACTCTCCAAAAACAAAAACAAAAGCAAACAAACAAAAAATGACTAATTTGGGGGACAGCAGCTGTCTCTCCAGCAAGTGTATGCACGTGATAGCAAAAATCTCTCTCTCTTAAAAAAAGGCTAATTTTATGTTTTGTCAATTTTACCTCAATAAAAAAAATGCAAAAAAATTTCCCAAAGAAAATAAAATGTAAGTATTTTGATTTATGACATTTTTACACTGAGCTGGAATTCTTTTTGTTTTGCTAGAAACATTATCTAGGTATATAAACATAGATACATGCTGCTTTATTACAGGTAAATAATTAAATAGGTCTTTCGGTTTCCATATTTAGAGATACATATTTTCCTGAGAATGGAACCCAAATTTAAAAATTAGATAACTACTGATGGTAAATCAAAGTCTAATTTGAAGTGAACAAAATAAACAAATGAAGTCACTAGAAGCAATTTAAAAATATTTATATTTATAAACTTTTGAGAATTAAAAGTAATGCTATGTGCAGAAATTTTCATCATTTATTAAGATTTTGTTTATTTTCCCTAACTTTAAAAACAAAATATTTTATTTATTTTTAATTTGACCAGACAGAGAGAGAGAAAGTGAGTAAGCAAATCTCCAGGTCCAGGATCTGAACCGTGGTCAGCCATGTGGGAGTTCAACACCTTAACCACCAAGCCACCTGCTGGCCCCTATTTTTCTATTTATTGCAATCTGTAGTGCCTTAAACATGTCTACCCACTTTTGATGAAGTGCATATTTTTACATACAGGACTTTCAATTTTATGGGAAAAATATAAAACTTCAATTGTTTTAGTGTAATATATAAAATTAATTCTACTAGTCCACATATATACAAAAACACCAAATTTATTTCAAATAATTCCTTTAAGATCAATTTTTCAGTGACATGTTTATTATCAAGTTTAGTCATAGATGACTTGTGTGCTTTTGGTGAGGTTTCCTAGAATGCCAAATATTTTCTAATAAGGTTATTAGTCTACTGAAAAATATAACTTAAGTAAAACAAGCAATAAAGTATTTATTATTATGGTGATTTTATCGATATAAAGTCTTTACTAATAAACATCCTCTTGAAAATCAGAAATAAACAGCACAATTCCTTACAATTTACACACTTTAAGAAACATTATCCAAATTCGGGAACCAACAGTTAGCGTAATAGCTATGTCTCTGGACTCCCACGTAGTCGACTGCGGTTCGTGTCCTGGACCCAGTGGCTTAAAACTCACGCCGGGCACGTGTGCGTGCGTGCCCGCCCAAGATCCCGAGAGGAGAATGGAGGAGAATGGGTTGTGGTGTGACCATCCCCGCTGGGGGTTGATTTCTCACTTTCTATCTCTATGTCTCTCTCTGTCTGGCAAGTGCATGCGCCCTATAGCAAAAATCTCTCCCCTACCCCCCCCCCAAAAGAAACATTATCCAAATTCGATGCTTATTAAAAGCCTATGAGATAGAAATTATTGTTATCTGTACTATGCAATTTAGAAAACTGAGCAAGACATCAAGACATTCATCTATAATCACAGAGCAAGTAACTGGAACAAATTAAACTCATTTTTTTTTTCAATTTTCCAGAGGCACTTGCATTGCTGAAGATAGATAGAGAGAGAGAGAGGGAGAAACCCCCTCATCCCCTATTGGAAACAGTCATGTTGAAATCCCTTGTCTTATATTTCTCCCTCCTTTCGTGATTTTATGCCCACACACACAGATGCCCGGCATGTTTTTCAAGATGCCAGAAATTGGACTCTGGCTGCACAGTTGACCCTGTAGGCTTCTACCACCTTAACCACCACATTACCAGCTGGCCCCAAGCCATTGTTTTATCACTAAATTCATTTGTCATTTTACTACCAAAAGCCTATAGACCCTATAATTTGCATTTAAAAATAACCAATTATGGATACATACTATTTACTGTTTTATATATATGTGTCTGTATAGTACGTAAATACATGCGCACATTCACATATTTGATAGGCTTATATTAATTCCTGTTATTAGGAAGGAGATAGAGAAGGGGACATGAATAGAGAGAGAGACAGGAAAATTATGCTAAAAAACAGTCACATGTGTGTCAACAGTGCCTATTGATCAAAGATCCAGATATTCATACAGGGGTAGCATAGTCAGTGCGGACCTTTTACACTATTGACCCTAGAATTTTAAAGCTTTGTACCTTTTTCCAAGATACGCATAAAATGGAATGTGGTAGCATTCTGGTCGTTCTTTCTCTTCCCACCTTTGATGACAAGGGTTGAGTTGAATGATGTGTTTCCTGGTGCCTCGATTTCTTTTTGCCTTCCTACTTCCTCCTGTCTTTTCTGCAGCTGCATGCTTATTGGAAGATGATGACCATTTCAAATAGAAAACGTTATGAAAAGTACTTACCGTACAATTGACTGGTTTTACTATTTTGTCATCTTTTGTTCTGTTATAGCATTATCTGATGCTCGAGGAAATTTTCTTTTGAATGGAAACTTTGTTGTAAGTATGTCAAAAAAAGAAATCAACGTGCAAGGAGTTATTTTTGAATACAGTGGTTCAAACAACTCGGTTGAAAGAATTAATAGTACTGATCGTCTGGAAGAAGAACTTATTTTGCAGGTAAATTCTCAGTAGTCGCTAAAACTTAGCTCTAATCATTTTAGTAAGCTGTGCTGGTTAAGTGCTTAGCATTTATTATTAAATGCAAAGATGATGTATTAAGAATATATGAATTAATTGTGTGTTCCTTTGTATTTTTATTGAGGTGTTGTGCGTGGGTAATTTATACAACCCCGATGTACGTTACTCTTTCAATATCCCTATGGAAGAGAGGAGAGACCTGTTCACGTGGGATCCACTGGGGCCATGGCAAGACTGTACCAAGATGTGTCAAGGTACAATGTAAAGAGGAGGATACATTTGACGGTGCGCTAGTATTGTTCTGAGCACTTTTAAGTTTGGCTGTCTACTCCCTGTTGTCCACACATGTACCAAAAGAGATATGAAGGTTTTTGATACTTTTTCCTCCCGTACTTTTCTCTTCCCTGATTCTTTCTGCTTCTTATACTTTCAAGGCCAATTTGATGCCTCACTTCGCACATTCTCCAGTACTGCTCCTTTCCTTTCACATGTTCACTCTCTTTTTGTAGTCCCAGAAAATTTCTTTACCTTGTATGCTGCTTTTTAGTGACATAACTGCCTTTTTTTCCACTCATCTCTACACATTCTTTCTCAATAACCTTTCCCTCCTTCAGCATTGTGGTATCAGATAGTCTTTCATGCTTTTCTAATCCCTGACCACAGGACATTATGTTTGCCCCGATGGCATGAATAACTGAAAGGAGCAAAGGCACTTACAGTAGGGATTCCAATGGAAAGACTGGAGTTGGCATGCACTGTGTAATCCTGTTTGTTCAGTGCCATAAACATTATTGAGGGGTTTCTTTGCTTTAGGTTATTAATAAGACCCCAGTTCTGCATTCAGGTTTCAGAACTGAGTGGCTGAAACAGAAGCATGAATAGATATCATAATTTGAAACGGTCAATGCAGCACACAGATACAGGACCACAGAAAAGGTGGGAACAGCTCGTGAGGAGTTTGAAGCCGGAGATAAGAAGTTTGTACAGAATGAAAAAGTGGCTTTTGTAGAGAATAGAGACGAGATTTGGGAAGCAGATGAGCAGTGAGTAGACAAGAGGAAGGGCAGAGCAGCGTGGAGATGAGCATATGAGAGAGAAGGAATATGGTCAGAGGCAGTGTCCACAGGCGATGAGAATCTGAGGGCAAGTCTAGCAAAACTGACATTAAGGAGCCAAAGGAATGTCCCATGCAGGAAGATGCACATTTTGTTCCTCTGGTGGTGGGACAGTGATGCCCAGAATGATTGTGTGAGAATAAGTGCCCTGTTTCTGTTCAGAGGATATCTTGTGGTGGGATATGGTAGTAGACAATTTAAGGCCAACTGAGATAAACACTGCAGGTAGAAAAAGCTTTGGTAATGCAGGAGTAAGAATTCATTTTGACAGCAAGGCCCTGAAGATACTTGTGTTGGATGTAGCATAGGAGTTTGGGAGCAGCATCCCACCATTATGTGAATAAGCCATTCTGTGGCTATGACTCTAGGAGCTAGGAGGACAAATCCAAGCAACAGGTGAATGAGAGAACATTCTAGCATGACATGGATTTACCAAGTGAAAAAATGACTTGGGACCAGTAGATGGAGTAGCAGTTATGTCGCTGAACTCCCACTGACTATGGCTGACTATGGTTCAAGTCCCAGGGATGGTGGCTTGAGAATCAAGCTGGGTATGTGTGTATGTGTGCCCAAGATAGATCCTGGGAGGAGAATGGAGAAGAAGGGTTTGTAGCATGGTCAAGCCCTTCCATCCCCTGGGGGGAAATTTCCTACTTTTCCTCTCATTATCTCTGTCTCTCTCTGTCTCTCTCTCTCTCCCTCTCTCTGGTGAGCACATGTGCCCTAAGGCAAAACCTTTTTTTCTTTTGAGAGAGAGATTTTTTACTGAAGAGTGTGTGCACTTGCCAGAGAGCCAGAGAAAGAGAGACAGAAAACGAGAAATATTCTCCCTGGTGGATGGCCATACTCCAACCTTTTCTGCTCGTCTCCTTTTGGGATTTTGGGCATGCACACACATGTGCCCGACATGAGTGTTTAAGCCAGCAGGTCCAGGGCTCAAACCACAGTGGGCTATGTGAAAGTCCAGTGATGTAACCATTATGCCACCTGCTGGTCCCAGGTAAAAACTTAAAAAAAAAAAAAAGGTTCAAAAGGGATTAAAAAACAAGGTAAGAGATGGTTTGAGAATCCAAACCAGCAGAGGTCTCTTATTAAATAATTATGTGCAGGAGAATAGGATTATTGATCCTTTTGCCACAGAGTATACTATGATTATGTGCCCTTGTTATATAACTTTAGGCTTATTTAAAGTTAAATTCCCTCAATTCTATTTGTTTACTTATTTGTCTGCTGAAAATCATCAGTCCCCAAACTTTCTGTTGACATTGTATTATTTTTCCTTTTTCCATTTACTTACTTATTTTTATACCTTTCCACAAACATTTATTTTACATATAAAAAAATTTTTGCTGGGACCAGCAGTTAGAGTAATGGCTATGTCGCTGGACTCCCACATAGTCGACCATGGTTCGCATCCTGGACCCGGTGGCTTAAACTCACACTGGGCGTGTATTCTTGGTTGAAACTGTTTTTTCACTTAACACTTTGAATATGTTTTCCCCTTCTTTCCTTGCTTGCATTGTTTGTGATGAGAGGTCTGAGGCTAGCCTGATTGGATAACCTTTATAAGTAACCTGACGTTTCTCTCTTGCCAATTTTAGTATCTTGTCTTTGTAGATTTGGCCAGTCTGGCTATGATGTGCCTTGAAGATCTTCTTGGGTTGATTTTATTAGGAGTCCTTTGTATTTCTTGGGTCTGGATATTTGAATGCCTCTCTAGATTTGTAAAGTTTTCTTCCAAGAGTTCATGGAATAGATTATCAGTGCCCTTATTAGTTTCCTCATCTTCTGGGATACTGATTATCTGGATGTTTGGGCGCTTAATGCTGTTTAGTATTTCTTACATAGTATTCTCATTTTTGGGAGTTATTTTCACTTTTGTTGTTGTTGTTGTTTTTTCTATATCAGAGGTTTTGCCTTCAACATCCGAGATTCAGTTTTCTGCATGGACTAATCTGCTTTTAATACTTTTGAGGGAGGTTTTGATTTCCTGAATGGCAGACTTCATCTCTAATAGCTCCATTTGATTCTTTTTTTTTTCTGGTGTGTATTTCCTCTTTCAGGTCATGGAAGAACATTAACACCTCCTGGAACTCATTATCTCTTTTCTCCTGCATCTTCTGGAGTTCATTATCTCTCAGCTCTTGTATCTTGTTTAGTTTTGTCACTATGAATATTCTCAATTTTCTATCAGACATTTCCATGAATTGTACTGTACTGTCTGTGGATGATGAAGGATTGTTCTTTTCCCTTAGGAAGAGATATTTTCTTGATTTTTCATGTTTCTTGTACCTCTGAGGTTTTTACTGGTCATTCTGTGACAAAAATCTATCTTCCACTGTACTTTGCAATGTGGTATCTACAAAAAGATTAGGAATTCAGATGTAGAAAAATAAATTTCTTCATTAAAGCAGGAGGTTCGATAAGCAGTGAGGATTTCAATGACTCTAAAAGTATTCAGATGCTTGACTACTGTGCACCTAGGCCTATCTAGACATTTAGTGTGCAGAGAGTGAAGCTTTGAGTGGGAAAGTAAGGTTAAAAAAATAAGCAAAAAGGAAAAAAAAACTGGAAAAATATTACCAAAAAAGAGGGAAAAAATTTGTTTTACATGTAAAAAATGAAAACCAGAGGGTGCACTAGACACACCTCAGCTTTAAAATGGCTTCTTGTCTGAATACTTTGGGAGTCTAGGAGATGGAGTTTAGAGCATAGCTTCCCTGAACACGTCAGGACACTCCTCAGCTTTAAAAAATCAACATTGTATAATTTCTCTTACTATTTTCAAGCATATTATTTAATATATCAATTTCTTTTTTTTGTAAATTTGCCTTTTGCTGCCATGGCCCTCATTTTTCTGTTATTGTTTGTTTATTTTGCTTTATCTGCTTGTTACCTATTATCTTAAGATTTTCCTTCACTAATATCCTGGGAATTCTGTTTGACTTTTTTCTGTGTTGGATACTGTTTTCAATTTTCATGAATTTTTCTTTATTATTTATTTCCCTCAATGGGTAGAATATAGCCCTCAGAACTTAACTGAGAAAGAAAGGTTGTTTCTTGAGACTTTTCATATTTTAAAAAATGATATTATTTTGTTTTATATCTGATCAGTATTTTAGCTGGTAGACATTTTTAAATAGACTATTTTCCTTTAGAATTTTGAAAACCTTGTTGTCTGGCTCATTTTCCAATTTGCTGTGCTTATGTGTGGCATTTTGTACTCTGGAAAGTTTGCGGATCCTCTCTTTAATTCTAGTGGTACAAAATGCCAGGAAAATGTGCTTTGAGATGAGTTTTCCTTCCCACCTATTTTCTTAGGTAATTAGGATATCATTCTGATTGGAAATATAGATTCTTTTTCTTGAGAAATTTCGTTGCATAATTTTTGATAATTTCTTCACATTAATTTTTCTTTTCTATCTTCCTAAAGCTTGTATTTTGATGTTTGACCTCCTAAACTGATAAATTTTCTAATTTCTTTTCTCAATATCTTTGTTAATGTTTCTTTATACATCTTGCTTCTGTTTCATGGATAAATGAACTTTGTTAATATTTTCTATTATGTCTCTGAGGATACTTAATATACTCTTTAAGTTTTCTTGTGTTTAATGACATTTATCTGTTTCATCCTTGCTGAATTTTTTTTTTTTTTAATTTTTGGCCTCTTTATATTAGTCTTTCCTAAAATGTCCACAGATCCTTTATTTGTTCATATTTAAGAAGTCCTACAATGCTGATTATATGAGTCAGACAAGTCAACTAGAGACTTACTTCATTATTGAGGACTTGGGTCATTATGTAGTCCTTTAATATGTCATTGGAAAGACACCCTTAATGCCATTATCAGTTGATCTTTTTTCTTGGGTTAAATGGTCCACCAAGGAAGAATCCTCCCCTCTTCTGATGCTGATAAGGGACTGGGAGGCAATGTACATTGACTGGGAGCTAGAGGGAGGGGAGGTGGACTGGGATCGCCTCACTCAGAGTAGAGACTTCTACTTAATCACCTTGTTTCAGTATATCATATTTCCCTTGTCCCTCTGCCGCCTCCTGCGCCTTTGACTTCACCTTCTCTGGAGCTGTGCTGCCCACTGTGGTGAAGTGTGAAATGTGCATTAGATTTTGAAGACAGTATGAAAGAATATAAAATATATTGCTAGCTTTATATAGGTATCAGGTTAAAATGACCACATTTTAGCTAGATCAGGTCAAATAAAAATGTTATTAAAATTAATTTTTCTTATATGTTTTTACTATTTGTTTTTTTTAGAGATATTTAGTATAGAGTGCTTGTGCTTGCCAGAAAGACAGAGAGACAGACAGAAAGTCAGAAATCTGGGATGGCCATGCCACAATCCCTTCTTCTCCATTCTCTCGGGATTTGGGGCATACATGCACACGCACCTGGATGAGTTTTAAGGCACTGGGTCCAGGACTCGAACTGTGGTCAACTACATGGGAGTCTAGTGAAACAATCATTATGCCATCTGTTAGTCCATGCTTTTTTTTGTTGTTGTGACTACTAGAAAATGTAAAATTACATATGCGGCTCTTTCCGTATTTACTGGATAGTACTGTTTTTGACTAGAAACGTAACTGTCTGACTATTCTTCATGAATATCTTTTAATAGAATCTCCACTTTTTCAGGCTTACCCCTTTCAGTGGAACCTGCTGTTTTGCTTCCTGCTTTTCTTGGATTCTGTGGCATGAATAGTTTGTTTTCTTATTCATTTCCTCAGTTACAGACTTAGGTTTCATCATCCATGCCTTTGCTAAATAGGTCATTTGCATCTACTTTTCATATTCAAATTTTCCCTTTCTTGCCTACCATGTTTCTTCTCTCTTTTCTTTTTAATTGTTCTTTTAGATTTATGCCTTTTCAAAATTTCCTATAGTTATTTCAAAGGTACTTAGGAAGGAGCACAGATATGCATATATGTTAGTTTTTAGTTAGCTGGAAGTGCACAGTTGAACTTTTAAGAAAGCAGGAATTAGATCAGTTACTGACTGCTTGAACTCGACCACCTCCTCATTGCAGAAAGTATAAAGTTCAAACCACAGTGACCGTGTGACCACTTCTCTGTCTGCTCTTGCTATGGTTCTGCCTCATACAAACAGCCACCAAATCTTTATGACTTAGAACAGCAAAGGTTTATTTCATACTCAGACAGTGTTTTGAGTGGTTGTTGGTTATATCTCTACTCCAACTTGCTATCTGCATTAATGTCTTTTTTTTTTTTTTTTAGTTTTTGCCATAGGACATGTATGCTTGCCAGAGAAAGACAGAGATAGTCACACCATAATCCCTTCTCCATTTTCCACTTGGCATTCTGGGCACTCATACACACACACTTGGCATGGTTTTTCAAGTCACTAGGTCCAGCACTTGAACCACAGTAGTCCGTGTGGGAATCTAGCACCTTTTCTACCAGACCACTGCTGGCCTCATCCATGATATTTAAAGAAAAAAATTTATAAACTTTATTTTTAGAGAGGTTTTACATTTATCAAAAACTCGAACAGAAAATACAGAGTTTACATATTTATTCCTCCTCCTTTCTCTCTCTGTTACTGAGCTCAAATCTGGTTCACTCACTCAAGCACTGTAAAACCAAACCAGAAGCACATGGTGTGATGAAGGAAAGTACAGCTTTATTGCAAAGTACAAAGCAAGGAGAGTGGACAGTTCATGCTGAAAAGACAGTCTCCCCAAGGTGTTCCTTACATGCATTTTTAAGGGCAAAATTAGGGGCAGAGGTCCCAGGCACATGATCAGTTCACATTTTGCTTCAGGTTTCTGGAGCCATTCAGCCTGGAGTCTTTGAGCTCACAACCAGCAGTTTCCAGCCTATAAAACATCTTACATATTGAAATGAAAGCTTTATCTTTCCTTTAAGTGAGAGTTTTAGAAGACAAATGGCTCTCATTCATGGTCCATGTTGGTCATTGTCATAACCAAAATCTGAAGACTTACTCCTTACTCTGGGCCATAACAACATAAATGGACCTTATATTTCAAAAACCCTAGAAAATACATTAGGGGATCTTTGCTCAGTTTCATCTGCAATCTCATTTCCCTATTAATATCTTGCATTATTGTAGCACAATTGATGAGCCAATTTTGATATATTATTAGCTGAAGTATAAATTAGGGGTGTATGTTTGTTTTTGCCATAGGGCATGTACACTTTCCAGAGAGAGAGAGAGATAGACAATGAAAGAGAGAGAGAAAATGAGAAATTATCCCTCAGGGAGATGGCCGTGCAGCAACTCCTCCATTCTCCTCTTGGGATTTCAGACACATGTATGCACGCACCCAGTGTGATTTTCAAGCCACCAGGCCTGGGACTAGACTCATGGTTGGCTATGTGGGAGTCCAGCACTATAACTACAACACCACTGGCTGGTCCCATAGAGTTCACGCTTTACACTGTAAATTCTATGGGTTTTGACAATGTACCCACCATTATAGTATCGAAGAGAGTAGTGTCTCTACCCTAAAAATCCCCTGTGTTTTACCTATTCATCTGTCCCTCCTTCCCCACAATCCATTGTAACCACTGATCTTTTTATTGTCCGTTTATGCCTTTAAAAAAAAATGGTGACATGGGACTAGCAGTTTGCATAATGGCTATGTCACTGGACTCCCATGTAGTCGACTGTGGTTCAAGTCCTGGACCTGATAGCTTAAATTCACACTGGGTGCATGTGCGTGTGTGCCCAAGGTCCCAAGAAGAGAATGGAAGAAAAGGGATTGCGGTGTGGCCATTCCCCCTGCGGGGGTGATTTCTCGCTTTCTGCCTCTCTGTCTCTCTCTGTCCTTCTGGCAAGCCTAGGTGCCCTATAGTAAAAACCTTTCCATACACACAAAGAAGTTATTTCTGACTAGATTAATGATACTAGTATATTCCGTATGTTGTGTTAGAAATTTTTGCTTCGTTAGCTGAATCTGTGAAGCTATTAACATAATTAAATACTTGTAGACATATACTTAAATAAATTGTCCTTTCATTTTTAATCTTCATCTGTCTTTGGTCAAGGTCTTCATAGAAGAAAAATTGCCTGCATACGCAAGAGTGATCATATGGTGGTGTCTGATCAAAGATGTGAACATTTGCCACTTCCATTGCTTGTGACTGAAAGATGCAATACAGACTGTGAACTGAGGTAAAAGGAACATGATACATAATGCAGCCAGAGTGCAGTGTAACCAGATTAAACTAATAAGGGAGATGAGATATAAAACATCTATTAGGTTGTTGGGGAAGTCATGATGCATTTTTGCACAGAAAACACATCATAACTTTCCTGATGATCCAATAGCTCAGAGTCTGATGCAGTGGACGTGTAACTAATAACCATCGTCATTGTCGGCCTGCCATTATGAACATTTCAGGCTCACTGATCTGTGGTGAAGTTCAGTAACCGGTCTGAAGTTTTAGTCCTAGTATTTTTGTAACATTTTGTTTAGGAAATGGGAGCAATTTTGTCTGTAAAGTTAATACAGGTAAACTCTATTCTGACAAGCTATGGTTTAAAGGTCTGAAACAATAAATTTTGTAATGTGGTTTTGTAATTTCCTCTAATCTCATGAGCCAGCACCAGCTCATAGCCAACAAACCGCAAGTTTGAGCACTGGAGAGTGAAAAGATAGATTTTCCTAATACCTTATCAGTATTTTGTCAGTTAAACCTTAAGGAACATGATCCTAGGTCATGGCAGAGAAGTGAATACTTCTAACCTAGATTTCTTTTTATTAGTTTTTTTTTTTTTAATTTTATTTTCTTGGTGTGATTGGTCTTGGAGTGACACTGAGAACAATAATTCCATCTTTCAAAATTGTTTTTACATAGTAGTAGGTGACATTTAATATTCAGGGATAGCTGTAACTTCTTTCACTCAGCAAGAATGAGAATTTCTATATAATTATGATGTTGTTTCAAGAGACAGTAAAAACCTAGTGCTATGCAGCTGGTTCATCTGCTGCATTGCAGTGGGATGAAACTCAGTGAGTCTTTGAGATGCTGTTGGGGATGGAAATGAACCCTGTGAATTCTATGCTACATTATAACAGTGCACCCTTACATCAGTAGTTGGTTAGATCGCTTGATTTTCATTGGGATAATTTGGCTAAAACTTGCATTTAACTCGTGAGAAAAATGTTTTCCCTGGAAACATTTAAACCTCTAAATATAGTTACATGAGTTGATGAGAAAATATGCTATGTCTTACAAACTGGTTTACCGAGTTTTAAAGGCTTTATTTACATTGATGTAGTCAGAGTCCCAGATATTCCCTGGTCATAAATGAAAGTACTGCAGAAGTTATAAGTTATAGTTATAGTCCTCAACCTACCACTAAGTAGTTGGGTGATCTTGGTCTAAACCAGTTATTTCAGTTATTTCCCAAGGTTTCTGGGGTAGTTTGGAGATCCTTGGACACATGTCCAAGCCACCACCAATTGCCAGGGTGATATCAAAGAATAGAGCTAGCTGCCTATCTCCAGTTTTCGCCAGATCAGCTCTATTTACATATATCTTTAGAGCAAGTAATATTTTATTTAGAAAAACGTAGGGTTTCTGACCAAAAGAAAAATCCAGCATTTATACTGTTTAAAAACACAATTTCTCTGGGCCTCATTTTCTTCTCTCCAAAAGGAAAGTTTGGGTTATATGGTCTCTAAGAACTTCTCATCTTGAATTCAGTGATTATCAAGTATTTCCAGATTGCTTCTCTGTCAGCTGTTAATATTTTTAAAATTGAATTGTATGTATGAGTTTCTCTGCATCTATTTTTAATTGTGTTCATTAGCATACACCCTGTATGTCATGACATCTGATTTTTCCAGGTGGCACATCATTGGCAAAAGTGACTGTTCATCCCAATGTGGTCAAGGCTATAGGTCCTTGGATGTCCACTGTATGAAGTATTCCATCCACAAAGGGCAGACTGTTCCAGTAGATGACCACTACTGCAGAGACCAACTGAAACCTCCAACCCGAGAGCCCTGTCATGGAGACTGTGTCTTAACAAGATGGCATTATTCAGAATGGTCCCAGGTACATGAAAAAAATCACATAAAATTGCCCACTTTTTTTCTAATTAAATATTTTGTTGTTCTAATGCTTTTTTGTTGATGTTAAACTTTGATTTAAAAAAAAATTTCCAAAAGTCACCACATTTTCTTTTGAATTCAGTGTTCCAGGAGTTGCGGAGGAGGAGAAAGGTCTCGAGAATCTTATTGTATGAATAATTTTGGCCACCATCTTGCTGACAGAGAATGTCAAGAGCTTCCCCGAGTATTAATGGAAAATTGCAATGAATTTTCCTGTCCCAGTTGGGCTACTAGTGAGTGGAGTGAGGTAACATGCAACACACAAAGCTTAGAACTATTATTATATTGTGCTAGGAAAATTTTGCAATCAAAGACTTTATTAAATTTAGACGTACTTAAATTCATTTTATAATTTTGTAGATAACTTTAATATCAAGGCAGTAAAGCATTTAAGAAATGGTTTGTCCTTAAACTATTTGCAGGACTAGGCAATAACATTCACTGATGTTTTACCTATAACCATCTCCATAAGAAAGTGTCAGTGTCACAGCAGCCATGATATATGAGGAGCTTTCCAAAACTTTATAGAAAAACAGAATTAAAGTTTGAGTTTATTTTGGTGCAAAAAAAAGAGAGTAAAATCTATGTATAGAGTTTTCTTATTACACATTTCTGTAATTTTTGAAGACCCTCATATATTAATTCTAAGGTTAGCTCTGCATCTTTGTTTTTTGTTTTTTGTTTTTTGTTTTTACCAATGAACGGATGTTTTTATGGGAGTCAGGCCACAGAAGTTAATGGTGGCTGATTTTACTTGGTGAATATCTCTAGAGAGTGAGGGAAAACACATTCAGGAATGGTCTTATAGCTTTATTCAGTAGGTGACTTGGTTGCTGCATGATTTTGAAATGCGTTTGTGTGTACTGACACTGCAAATAAGTCCCCATCAACTGTCTTCTTACAGTGTCTTGTTACCTGTGGAAAAGGAACAAAACAGCGGCAGGTCTGGTGTCAGCTCAATGAGGATCACTTGAGTGAAGGCTTTTGTAATCCAAGTACCAAACCTGAGTCTCTGGGACCATGTGAGCTTCTTCCATGTGCTTCCTGGCAAGTGGGACCATGGGGATCGGTGAGTATAGATGGGTTTTTCTGGTTCACTCTATCTTTACAGATCACACGAAATGTGATATATTCATACTGTCTTTGGTGGATGCACTGAAATTTGAGTTTTATATTGGAGAAAATCCTTGAAATACAAGTTGTTATCTACAAAATCTTGATAGCACTGTTAATTTTGCTATGCTAAATATTTCAGCTTTGCTTTTGAATTTATTTCTGTTAACCAAAATGCTATAAAACTTTTGCTATCATCAGCTTTGACTAAATGCTAAATATTTTTGGATTCAAGATTCAAGGTCTAGATTCGTATCTTTCTATAAAGTAGGCATTGTTTAGAAGTTTGCCTAACAGGCAGCTAGAGTCTACAATACAAGCAACGGTCAGGCAGGATGAGGGTGCATAGCTTATCCTGGGGATAACCATAGTTGATGAGAAACTTCTTGTCTCTTTAATTTTATCATATACTAGTCTTTCTTTATGTTTTTTCAAATTTACTAGTCATATTAAGTGATATGGATGCAGAAGATAGAGTTTTACAGTATTTTGTTTTCCTAAATTATAGGGATTCTAACTCAAAAATAGGTCTCTATTGGTATTTTCACGTAACTTTTTAAAGATACAAAATAATAGCACATTTTGTATTTTATTGATAGCTCCATAATCAATTTAACTAAATATACATATTGATTTAATTTGCTAATTTTAAATCTTGAGTCTGGTATAAAGAATTAGTAAAAAGATCTACAGTAAGTGTATTACTATGTATTAATTAAGAAAATAGAAGTTTCAGGCTGGTCCCATAACCTAGTGGTTAAGGGAGCCAGATCACACATGGCTGAACATGTTTTGAATCACAGCCGTCAGCTTAAAAAACATGCTTAGTACATGTGTGCCCAAAATTCCAATAGGGTAGAGAAATGGAGGAGAAAGAAATGAGGCATGACCATGCTCAACTGCAGGGGGAAAGGAGTGCTTTCTCCTTCTTTCTCCATCTCCTTCTGTCTCTGGTGAGCACACATGCCCTCTGGCAATTAAGAAGAAGGAAGTTTCTGCAATTTCTGAGAAACAATGGTACTTAAGTATCTATTTTTCTTTTTCTTTCAGTGCACAGCCACATGCGGACATGGGTATCAGATGCGTGCTGTTAAGTGTGTCAGCGAGGTCTTTAGTGCAGTGCTAGATGACAGAGACTGCCATGGACTTAGTCGTCCAAATGACCGGCAGGTAAAGGAATCCTCTTCATAGATTATATATATATATATTTTTTTTTTTTTTTTACTTAAACTTACATGCTTTTAAAATGTGTGTGTGTAGCGGGAAAGTGTTTAATCATTGTTGGTCTACCTTTGTAGATGAATTTGTTTTTACTTATTTGCCATTGGACCACTCATTTAATTGTATATTTCTATTATTTGAACTGAAGGAGGATACTATTATTATGGATATTATGAACTTCTAAATAGGATTATGCTTTTTAAGGTAGAAGTCTATGTTCAGACTGTTCCAGTATGCATTTTTTAAAGGATGGTTGTTCATTTCCTTTCAAACCATCAGGAGAATGACTCATGCTTTAGGATTTAGAGTTACTGTACACAATTGGCACTTGACGGTATTTTGTACTTTTGAATGATCAAAAGCTTTAGGTCATCTGTTTGTAAGTCATTATGTAACCATTCTTGAATTAAACATATAGAAGAAGAAAGGACAAACTAGATGTAATATAAACCAGAGTGATTAATTCATTGGTGGTTAACAAAATCTATGTTCCTTTTGAACAGGATTGTATGGTTACACCTTGCCCAATTATCCCCGAAGTTGGGGCTACTTTACTGCCCGCCGTTCCTTTGGGAAAGTTAGCACAATGGCGACACGGTTCTTGGACCTCAGTAAGTGAATTTCATTAAGAGACATGGTGTTACTATTACGGAGACTTGTAGGCATCAACAAATGGCTCATTTGTCAAATGAATGGTGTATTCATTCTCAGGCATTTTGATACATGAAGGATGCATATAGGATTTATAATTAGTCATCGAATGGCTAAGTCCTTTTATACCTTTTCAGAGCTCTCTAGGCAAGAAATTAAGGTTCTCTGAGTCTGTTTTCTAATTTGGAAAATAGAAATAATAATAATACTTATGTCACTGGCATGAAAAGCAGATGTGATATTAGGCGTTTATATGATTTTGCAAACATTTTCATGTTGCTGTTTTTTTTTTTTTTTTGGAGAGGTTTTTGCTATAGGGTGCGTGCGCTCGCCAGACAGACGGAGACAGACAGAGAGACAGAAAGCGAGAAATCACCCCCCCAGGGGGGATGGTCACGCTGCAATCCTTTCTCCTCCATTCTCCTCTCGGGATCTTGGGCACACACGCACACGCGCCCGGTGTGAGTTTTAAGTCACTGGGTCCAGGACGCGAACCGCGGTCGACTACATGGGAGTCCAGCGACATAGCCATTACACTAACTGCTGGTCCCTCATGTTGCTGTTTTAACTGAGAATTTTAAATCTATGGAATATAGACTTTGTTCTAATCTTATATGGAGTATATATTTTCAAACTTCACAGGTTCTCTGTATATTTTAATTAATTATGAAATTCCATCTACCTTTCTGTTACTCAGGACTTTCAAAGTTATTTTTAACATTATCTTAACATTCTCATTCATAAGATGTTTTCAGTAGCCTTAGTTTTGGCAAACAACTGATCATTAATTTAAATCAGTATATAAACATATACATGTTTCTATCTTATCTGTGAAATGTATGATCTTACTTGATTGGGATGTTCATTACCCCATCTTCACTAAGGAGTGATGCCAGGTGAAATTATTTGTAATTTAAATTTTCCCAAGAAATGACATTTTAGAAATATGAGTAACAGCTATTTGTTAGGGACATTAGAGAGGTCCTACATAACACCTCAATGTAATTTGATTTTTTGTAAGTGCTCCGTGTCTTGTGGAAGAGGTATTCAAGCCCGCTACGTGAGCTGCCGTGATGCTCACGACGAAATAGCAGATGCATCACATTGTGCCCACTCCCCACAACCTGCTGAGGTATCGGTCTGTTTTAACCCTTGTGGAGAATGGCAAGCAGGGAATTGGTCGCCTGTAAGTATTATGAGGAAAAAATGACAGGAACGATTTAAATATCATATTTGGTATTTAACACAATCCTAATGTAATATATTCCGTTGTACATGTTGGTAAATGTTTGATCAGTGCTCAGCTTCCTGTGGCTATGGAAAGACAACTCGGCAAGTTTTATGCATCCACTACCTTCAGCCAATTGATGAGAATTACTGCGACCCTGAAGTTCGTCCTTTGAGAGAACAAGACTGTAACCTGGCAGCCTGTCCACCCACATATAGCCACTTTCCTAGCTCCTCTGAGCAGCCAAGCCATTTCCCAGGCAGGAATTTTCCATTAACTCACAAACCTGAAGACAATCAAAATCTGGGGCTTCATCCATCAGTCGGAGGAAGCCAGTGGAGAACAGGACCTTGGGGAGCGGTAAGTCATCTTTCCCGAGTTGTATTAATTCTGTGATTTTGTTATTTTACATCTTTTTAACAGGTATATAATGACATCTAGTGCTTTTAATGCTGAATTTATCTCAAGATCAAAAGTTTTAATCTTAAGAAAGACGAAGCATTTTTTTTTTCTTTTTTTGGAGAGGTTTTTGCTACAGGGTGTGTACACTCGCCAGAAAGACAGAGAAAGCCAGAGAGACAGAAAGCAAGAAATCACTCCCCAGGGGGGATGGCCACACTGCAGTCCTTTCTCCTCCATTCTCCACTCGGGATCTTGGGCATGCATGCACACGTGCCTGGCGTGAGTTGAAATTATTTGTAATTTAAATTTTCCCAAGAAATGACATTTTAGAAATATGAGTAACAGCTATTTGTTAGGGACATTAGAGAGGTCCTACATAACACCTCAATGTAATTTGATTTTTTGTAAGTGCTCCGTGTCTTGTGGAAGAGGTATTCAAGCCCGCTACGTGAGCTGCCGTGATGCTCACGACGAAATAGCAGATGCATCACATTGTGCCCACTCCCCACAACCTGCTGAGGTATCGGTCTGTTTTAACCCTTGTGGAGAATGGCAAGCAGGGAATTGGTCGCCTGTAAGTATTATGAGGAAAAAATGACAGGAACGATTTAAATATCATATTTGGTATTTAACACAATCCTAATGTAATATATTCCGTTGTACATGTTGGTAAATGTTTGATCAGTGCTCAGCTTCCTGTGGCTATGGAAAGACAACTCGGCAAGTTTTATGCATCCACTACCTTCAGCCAATTGATGAGAATTACTGCGACCCTGAAGTTCGTCCTTTGAGAGAACAAGACTGTAACCTGGCAGCCTGTCCACCCACATATAGCCACTTTCCTAGCTCCTCTGAGCAGCCAAGCCATTTCCCAGGCAGGAATTTTCCATTAACTCACAAACCTGAAGACAATCAAAATCTGGGGCTTCATCCATCAGTCGGAGGAAGCCAGTGGAGAACAGGACCTTGGGGAGCGGTAAGTCATCTTTCCCGAGTTGTATTAATTCTGTGATTTTGTTATTTTACATCTTTTTAACAGGTATATAATGACATCTAGTGCTTTTAATGCTGAATTTATCTCAAGATCAAAAGTTTTAATCTTAAGAAAGACGAAGCATTTTTTTTTCTTTTTTTGGAGAGGTTTTTGCTACAGGGTGTGTACACTCGCCAGAAAGACAGAGAAAGCCAGAGAGACAGAAAGCAAGAAATCACTCCCCAGGGGGGATGGCCACACTGCAGTCCTTTCTCCTCCATTCTCCACTCGGGATCTTGGGCATGCATGCACACGTGCCTGGCGTGAGTTTAAGCCACCGGCTTCGGGACTTGAACCGCGGTCAAATATGTGGGAGTCTAGTGACATAGCCATTACACTAACTGCTGGTCCCAAGATAAAGCATTTTTTTGAAGCAGATTACAAATCCCCAGAGTTCTTATTGAATTCTATGCTAATGTGATATGATTACAGAGGAATGCACTTAAAAACAATCTGATTACAGCTCACAATAAAAACAAAAGAAAAACCTTTAAGAAATAAAACTCAACATACTTATGGAAAAAATATTCTCAAATCAAAAATTACTATGATACTATTACAATAAACTGATGTACAATCATGGTTATCTATAGGAGGTACATAGTTCCTATTTGACATGAGATTAATGAAACTCAGAGGAACAGCAATTTAAAAGTGAAGTTATTTAACACTTTATTTTTTCCCTAGTGTGACCTTAAAAATTCCATTCCTCTTTACTTCATATTTAGAATAAAAGTGAAGGATTATTTCCTAATGCAAGCTAGAAAGCTTCACCTTTTCTTCCTTTCTTTTTTTAAATGACTGGAGGGCACATGTGCTCTCCAGATAGAACCAGAGACAGAGAAAAAGGGAGACAGCAATCCCTATTGGGGCATGGTCATGCTGCAATTCCTTCTCACCTTCCATTTGTCCATGATATTGGGATTTTGGATGCACATGCCTGGCTACCGCTGGTGTTGGGATTTGAACTGTAACTGCCCATGCAGGATAGAGCTCTCTTAACCACTATGCTATGAGGTCAGCCCAAAAGCCTCACCTTTTCATTAATAAATTCTAAAACAGCCCCCCAGTAAAATTCAGTGTCTAGACAGTTTCTTTTACATTGTGGTTGTGATTCCAGTAAGGGAAAGTTTAACATAGTTTGATTTTAAATCAAATGCCGACCTTGTTTGCACCCTGTCCGTTCGGTGTGGAATCTGCAGTGTGTGTATCTCTGTGTTCTGTCCTGTCAGTGCTCTAGCAGCTGTGCTGCAGGTGTCCAGCGTCGAGTTGTGGTCTGCCAGGATGAAAATGGACACAGTGCCAGTTACTGTGCTGCGGCCTCCAAGCCCCCTGAGTCTAAGCACTGTGACTCAGGACCTTGTCCACAGTGGAACTACGGAAACTGGGGAGAGGTAAGTCAGGCTGTTTACTAAACTTGTAGAAATGATTCCATCTCTGAAGACTGAAAATTAAGCCTTTATACTATTAGAAACTGAAAAAGTAGAGTCTGAGGAAGGACGTTAATAAAAAGAACAGAGAGGCATAGCATTAATGGGACAAAGAGGTGGGGTGTTATCTATGGAAGATAACTTCATAGTATTATCAACTGGACTGGGGAGAAATGTACACATGTCGGAATATTCACTTTGCAGGCTAAATAATGTGATTGAATGTATAAGAGAACTAGAAATAAAATTAAAATTAAAAAAATAATCTTACTGGACTATATTGTATAGAATTTTTTTTTAATTGTTAACACCATGGTTGTTTTCTCTTTATTTCAAGAGGGCAATTGTCTCCCCTGAAAGAGATAGAGAGAAGAAAACAGCTCTCAATTTGCAACATGATCATGACATAACCCCTTTTCCTCCATTTCCTCTTCCTGTTAGAATTTTGGGCATGCATGCATATGTATCTAGTATGGTTTTTTTTTTTTTTTTTTTTTTTTGAGAGGTTTTTGCTATAGGGCACGTGCGCTCGCCAGACAGAGACAGAGAGACAGAAAGTGAGAAATCACTCCCCCAGGGTGGATGGTCATGCCGCAATCCCTTCTCCTCCATTCTCCTCTAGGTATCTTGGGCAAGCACACTCATGCACCCAGCGTGAGTTTTAAGCCACCGGGTCCGGGACGCGAACCGCGGTCGACTACGTGGGAGTCCAGCGACATAGCCATTACGCTAACTGCTGGTCCCTATCTAGTATGTCCCCTTAAGGACTAACTCTATCATCTCTTTATTTTTATTTTCTTGATGCTAGAAGGAACATGTGCTCACCAGAAGGAGATGAAGAGACAGGGATAGGAGAAAGAATTTCATATAAGACATGGCTATGCCACAATCCCCTCTGCCCCATCTGTCCCTTCTTAGAGGACTTTCATCATACATGTACACACATCCAGCATGTTTCTCAAGCCTCTGGATCCTGAGCCATGTGATTGGCCATCTAAGATCCAGCAGCCCTAACCATCAGATCATAGAGTTGGTTCACCATATTCCTTTTTTTAAAAAAAGGAAATATTTTTGCTAGTGCGTGTGCACTCACTGTAGAGACAGAGAGAGACAGAAAGTGAGAAATCACTCCCCAGAGGAGATGGGCACCCTCCAATCCCTTCTCCTCCATCCTCCTCAGGATCGTGAGCATGCAAGCACATGTGCCCAGTGTGAGTTTCAAACCTCCAGGTCCAGGACTTGAACTGTGGTTGGCCATGTGGGAGTCCAGCGATGTCACCCTTACTCCATCTGCAGAGCCCATATTCTTTTAATAGATATCCTACTATAGCTTAAGTCACTCATTTATGATAGAAAATATATATTCCATGTTTATATACTCCCATGTGGGAATCCAGCGACGTAACCATTACATCAATTGCTGGTCCCAAATATGAAGTACATTTTAAAAATGCACTTTTATTTTCCTAGTATTTTTTTATTTCTGAATTTAAACATGCTTATCTCAAAAATTCAAATCATGGGACCAGCAGATGGTATAATGTTTATGTTGCTGGACTCCCACATAGTCGATCACAGTTCAAGTCCCCGGCCCAGTGGCTTAAAACTCATGCTGGGCACATGTGCATGCAGACCTAAATCCTGACAGTAGAATGGAGGAGAAGGGATTGTGTCATGGCCATACCCCTGGAGGAAAGTAGTTTCTCCCTTTCTGTCTCTCTGGCCAGTAAACACACCCTATTACAAAAATCTCTCTTTAAAATAATTTCAAATCATATACGAAATTAGGAATGGATAAGAACTTTTAGCATTTTGGTTTATTTCCTGTTAGCGTTTTTTGCTCTATATAATGGTTTTAGAGATAAGTTCACATTATATATTACTGCTTTTCTACCTGCTGTTTTCATATAATATTATATTGTGCATCATCCATAATTATAAAATTAAATCTACCTTACCAACTTCCATGGCAACATAGTAATCGATTGGATACCACACATTTTGTAATTAATACCCATTGCTTAGGTAAATCAATTTTGTTTCTAAATTGACCTGCCACCAGTATCTCATAGACCCTTGATATCTTATTCAATTGGCATATAATAATTTGCATATTTGTGAAGTACAATGTGATTTTTTAGTACAAGAATACAATTGTGATGATTAAATCAGGGTGATTAATATATCCATCATCTCAATTATTTGTTATTACTTTGTATTTGGAACATTTAGAATCCTCTTTTTTAGTTACTCTGTGATAAGTAATAAATTATTAACTTTATTCACCCTGCAATATAGAAGTTGTTCCCTTATCTATCTATAATTTTATCTATCTATACTAAAAATGATGTCAACTACTGAAAATGTTGTCAGTTATTTTTAATCATGGAATTAAAACTTTCACCTATTTTTACCCAGGAAGAAATGTTGAGAATTAGGAAGGGTAAACTTTAAATTCTTGCATTACTAGTCATATTTGAACATCGAATAAAGCAACGTAATACTCTCTTTAAAGCTACATAATTTTGCATTTCCCTGTTCTTGTTTTTAGTGTACACAAACATGTGGAGGAGGAATCAAGTCAAGATTTGTAATATGTCAATTTCCCAATGGCCAAATCTCCCAAGAAGACAACTGTGAAGTGCTGAAGAAGCCACCTAGTATGGTTCAGTGTCACATGCATGCTTGCCCTGATGCTGCATCCTGGCATCGGGGACCGTGGAAGTCGGTACGCTAGTGTTCTTGTTCTTACCTTGTTTTGTTTTACTATATCTCTTTTCCTTTAATTTCCTCTCTTCATCAATTGTGGAATGCACACACTATATCATCTCTGATTTTTTTTTTTTTTTTAAGCAGACCATTGGCCCTGTAGACTTGTGTTATTAGTTTTAGTTGTTTGGAAGAAGAAACCATTCTAAGTACTGTTATATATATATATATATATATACACACACACACACACATACATACATATATTGGTATATATGTATGTATACACATGTACATATATGTATATATATGTGTGTGTGTGTATATATATATATATAAATAAAATAGTTCTATATATATTTATTTTTTGATATGTGAATTTTGAGCCATGGCACCGTTCTAATAGAAATCCTTTTCTCCACTACATTGTTGACTTGTCTTCTAATTAATCAGAAATGTTTTACTATTTACATTTGTATGTAATGTTAACATTGCTCTTGTAACAGTGGCAAATTAAGGCTTTGTCTTGTTTGAGCATATAATCGTATGTGGCTTTTGTCCGTCAGTGTCCAATAACTGATCCCAAACCAAATAACATTCTTTAAACTTGTTTTTATCATTGTTAAACTTATTATTTTGTTTGGAAATGTGAAAATATTATATTTCAGAGAAGATAGAGAAATTTACTTACATAAAGTAAATTAATTGTTTACAGTTATATACATCATGGATATGCATGATTTGCATAATTTATATTAATATTCATTTCATCCACTGTGTGGAGTTATTTTGGCTTGGGAATATTTTGATTTTCTATTTTGTTATTTTTTTGAAACCATAAGCAAAATACACAAATTTTGTTAATGGTTTATTTCTCTAGTATTTTTTCATATATCCAGACTGTAATCATTAATGTATAAATACATTAAAATTAACATTTTGATCACTATTAGTCTTTAAGTCATGAACACTCAAGTGTACTATTTTTAGGTAGAAAAACTGATTTTGAATATATTATCTGTTTATAATTAAATTTATAAAGTTAAATAATTCTTTATTTGGAAAATAATTGTAATCCAGTTTTATAACCAACCCTTGATCCTGTGCTTGGTTTTTCCCAAGCCAAACCTTTATAAGGAGATGTAAACCCATTTCAAGTCATGCTATTTGAAGAGTAGATTAAGTTCTGGTTCAGGCAGAAGTTCACCCTTTCAGTCAAAGAATTACTGATGATATAAAAACAACAGGATATTTTAATTTTATGGGAGGATCTTAATGTAAAATTGCTGCTTTAGAGGACCATTATGTTCTAAGAACTAACAAAATACATATTTTTCCATGAGAGAATTCATGTATTTAATAAATATTGGGTCATCATGAAAGTTATGATGTATATTTCTGTTTCTCTACATAAAAATGTGTTATGACTTTACTGATGACCCAATATTTACTGATCATCTGCTATATCCGAGGCACTGTGCTTCAGAAATTTAAAAACTTTTTTTTTAATTCCTAAGTTAGTAGTCTACTTGGGAAGATTTAAAATACTGTTGGAATTCACCATAAATATACATCAATTTTATTAACCATCTTAAATTGGAAATTCACTTTCTACTTGCTATCTCTCTCTGTTATATTTTCTTTCGATTTATTGGTTTTAGTTGGCAAACTAATTCTTAATAAGGCTATGGATTGCCTTTATACAATTTTGACCCAGTTAGGAAAATAGGATCTTAATCAGTATAGAGGTCTAATTGTAGTGGCATTTGTTTCTGATCACTAAGATTTTATTTTTCCTACTTATTCATGACCTTAATTTATAAAGCATTAAACATTTATTTATGTACCCTGCTTTGTGCTACTTATTGTAGCAACCCAAATGAAGAATCTTGAGTCAGATTTTCTAAAACAGGGGTCAGCAAACAATGACCTATGGATGAATCTGGTCCATTGCCTAGTTTTGTAAATAAGATTCATTGGACATAGTCATGCACATTTGTTTTTGTATTATCTAAGGCTGGCTTTGAACTAAAATAGCAGAGTTGATTAGCTGCAATAGAAACGGTATTGCCTACAAAACCTAAAATATTTACTATTTGACCCTTTCTGGGAAAAGTGTGCTGACCTTTGTTCTCTTTAAAAGACATTATAACGCTTTTTAAGTTTAACATAAAAATTTACTTAGTGCTGTATTATATTAAAATTACAATTATCCCTGATGGGTCAGTTTTAAAGGTTTTTGATTCTTTGATATTTTAAAACACTTTATGGTTTATCAACCTTTTCTGCATATCCACGAAGGTATTCATACAATGTTCATATTTTGTGTTGGAATGTATGTAATAGGATATTTCAGTATTTTTGCATCATGCTATTTTTGTCCTTAAATGATGTCAGTTAAAAACGGGAATGTTCATAGATGACTTTTCAACCTCACAAGATCCAGAGAACAATAACGGTCACAAATTTTTACAAAATAGTTCGAAGTGCAGAATTCTTCAGTGTTTATGACATGTCTATTCCAAAAGTGCATCAAATAATTCAGTTTTTGCACTAATGAAAAGCTGTAATATTTGTTTTGATAAGTTGAAGATGATTACTTTTTAAAATCACTATAAATGTTTATCAGAATTTCTACAAATTTATTTATTTACTTTTTATATGTGTAATGTACATAAATATTAGAGTGCCTTGATTTCTTTCATTATATGAAGAATATTTATTTGTTAAATTAGCCTTTTATATTAAAAGGGTTTAGGGGATCTGAAGTTTTGTTGTCAAAACTAGATATAACTTTACCTCTTTCAGTGTTACTAATTAGCCAAACTTCAGAATACCTCTCATCAATCTATCAGATTAATATTCTTTTATCGCTACATTGAATTACAACACATTCTGTTCACTGTTAGAAAATCAGGAGCGTGTGTGTGTGTGTGTGTGTGTGCGCGTGTGTATGAATGAATGAATAATATAAAATATTGGAAACCTTTTAAAGCAAAATGAAAATATGAAGTGTAAAATCATTTAAAATATTTAGAAAGTTGTAAGAGTACATTTAAATTTTCTCCATATTGTGAGGAATCTTGTGCTGTAATAACAAAAGAAATAAATAAATCTTAACCGTTGTCTGTTAATAAATGACTACATTTCTGTGATAACTTAATGTGAAATGATTGTACTTTAACCTTTGTTTATTAATGGCATGTGCTGTGGCATTGTGCTTTGCATAATTCATATGTATGTTGTATTTTTATTTTTGAATCCATACCTAAAGTGTTTTAAGTCATCGCACTGATCTCATATTTTACTGAAAGTCTTTTTTCTTTTGTTGATATTTTTCTTAAATAACATTTTGTTAATTCCTTTGATTAAACATTGAATTGTTGACTAGTGTATGTTTTCATAATTTTACTTTTATGTATAAGCTACTGTTCTATTCCGAATATTATACCTGGTAGAAACTAATATTGGAACTTAAAAATATAAGATTTATTGTTTAATTATCAATTTATAAGTTCTAGAATTTTTGTATTTTTCTTTTTATATTCTATAAACAATAAAAAACAATGATATAAATGAATGTATTTAGTAAGTTAAAAATAGATGTGCTTATGACCAAGATAGTCTTTAAAAGGTGAGTAAAAGTTTTGCATTTTCTTCTCTTTCATATATAGTAAGAGACATTGCATGTGATATGATTGAACTGTAAATGACTTTAAGTACATTTATTTTAATTTTTATTTATATTTTCCCACTCATTTTAAAAGCAATCCATTTTTTTATTCCCTGGATAGGTGAAATCATATTTGGTAAACAAATAACTTGTATAACAGTGTATTCTGGGGTTGATGATATCCAACAAGAGTAAGAATATTATTTTTTCCTTTTTTACTCCTAAAAAATGAGAAAGTTGAGCCAGCCTGTGGCATGGTGATTAAAGGAGCTGGATCCTATGTGGCCCACTCCTTGCTTCAAGTACTAGTCCCAACAACCAGGCACATGTGCATGAATGAATGCCCAAAACCCTAAAAGGAGGGAGAGATGGAGGAGGAGAAAGGATTATAGCATGACCATCCCCCATGGAGGGTGCTATCTCACTTTCCCTCTCTGTCTCTCTCATACAAACACATGTGCCCTCTGGCAATTTTATTATTTTCAATGAAAAATTTTTTTTTTTTTAATGAAAGCTTATACTTGATTCCTCTGAAATTGAGTACTAATTGTTTCCTTAAAAAAAAAAAAAAATTCCCTTCTGTGAAATTGTGCAGAAAAAGTATATTCTGTGCTAAATCGGTATGATGGAATGTAGCAAACACTTTCAGAAGTGAACATGTGATTACAGCACACACCTAACACATCTGCAGTTTGTCAGTTTGTCAAAAGGACACAGAGTTGGAACAGAGGGTGTAGGCTGCTCCATCCTCTCCAGCTCCCACTCAAGGTAAAATACCTTCAGGGAGATACAGGTTACTGCTGCTGTTCCTGAGGCCAGCAGCAGCCGGGGAAACAGGCACTATGTGGGGCAGTGCTTCAAGAAACCATCATTCCTTCATTTTGACTCTGTAAGGTAGAGTGTTCAGTAAAAACACTCAGAATTTTACAGAAATTCATTATTTTCTTAAATTTGGAAAAGACACATGTAAGCATATTAATTACCTGGAAATCTATCTTTGAAATAAAATTTAAAATTACCATAGAAATATTTCTTGCATAAAAATATCATGTTGCCATTTATTCCTATGTCCTTAAGTGCATTTTCTGATTCTTCCAAAAATCATGAGTATGTACTGCATATTGTACATTGTGATGGTAGAAGTAAATCTAGCACATTCTGTATATGAGAAGTTTATGATTTGTAGTGAATGTATTAAATAGGTGATCAGAAGAATACAAGGTGGATTTCTATCCCATTATAATAATCATGTGATATGTAATACTAGAGACCCAGAGTGTCTATAAATTCTTAAGCTGGAATAATTAAAGAATTAGTAATGAGGAGTACACTTAACAAAATTTTCA